TATTTAGATTCTTTTTTAGTCTTTTTCACTGTAAGCTTACAGTGTTGTTCTAGAATTGAGCCGCCTCTAAATATAATTTTTTAAAAATAGAACATATTTCTGTTTTCAATCACTTAAGATGTGTGACCGTACCACCTTCTAACAGCAAGTAGCAATTCGTTATGTTGAAATCTTATTAAGAGGAATGTTTTTATTTGCATGTTTAATAGATCTAGGCTGGTAGTTTGATATTGGCAGGCTCTATTACATTTGTAACTGGAGGATTACCTGTATAATGAGAGTGAGGGTGGGTCTCAGGAAAGTCCTGCCTTAGCACCACACAAGTCCCATGTTACGCCCACCCTGGCCACGCCCACCCAGTCACATGACCATCCAGCCACACCTACCCATTAGGTCAGAGAACCGGTTGTTAAATTATTTGAATCCCACCACTGACTGAGACTGATATAAAACATTTTTATGCATTAACTAGTGAACAAACTGAAAAAACAGTCACAGAGAAACTGAACTAAGAAGGCAGAAAATGTAAACTTTGTTAATATAAAAGTAATTAATTATCTTGCAGATAAACTCAATCTTTTAAAATATGAAAATTTGAAATTCTTGAATCCAAGTAGAGAAATGCTGAATGTGCTGATAAATTCAGGAACCTTGCTAGCATATGCCAAGGTGAATGACCATACAGTAGTCATTCCTACTGCAACCTTCATGATATCATTCTGAGGACAGATTATCTAGAAGCCTTCTGAACTTGATGCTGATGGAAATCCAGATAAGAAGTTTCTTTCAAAATATAGCTTCTGTAGCAAAGAGATTAGTGGGTTACCAAATAGCAGAACCAGTAGATCTGAGCAACTGCCCATGAATTCCAGATGCTGCTTTTGATATTACATACTGCAAAAATAAAACATTACCTGATAAAAAAGACTGCCAAACATTCTTAAGAGTCTGTTAACATTTATTATCAGCCTAACCTAAGTTTCTAAAAGCTTCTGGGATCTTATGCTTTGTCCTTGCTTAATCTAATCACCAAAATATCCCAATTTCCAAGGATAAATTAACCAAATAGCCAAGAATTGCTTCCCCTCCACATCAAAATTTACTTACCGTATTTTTCAGAGTATAAGACACACTCCTCCTCCCCTAAAAGAGGCTGAAAATTTAGGTGTGTCTTATACTCCAAATGTAGCTTTTTTGAAGCTTATTTTCAGCCCTAATGAGGCGCTAGCAAGTGAAGCAATCTCTATGCTTTGCCTGCTGCCTCCGACTCTCAGCTATGCTTTAGAAGCTGTTTTTCAGCCCTAACGAGGCACTAGCAAGTGAAGTGATCTTTTGAGCTTCGCCTGCTTTTCTCATTGCTTCTCTCTCCAAAGATCAGCTGTGCTTTAGAAGCTGTTTTTTATCTCCAAGCAGGGGATAAAAAATGCACAAGCACAAGCGCAACCCTCAAAACCAGCTAATTAATGTGCTGAAACTGAGCAGACTAAGGAAGCTAGCCAGATGAATATTTGGTAGGCAGATTCCCCCCCCTCATTTTCCTCCCCAAAAACTATGCTGCGTCTTATACTCCAGTGCATCTTATACTCCAAAAAATACGGTAGATTTAAAGTAACTTAGTTTATCCAGTTTTAACTAAACAATTTAAAACTGTTTAAAACTTGACCAAACTAAAACTGGTCAAGATACAATGCAAATCCAGTTTTGTTTATCTCATTCATGCAAAGCCTTTTTTTCTACAGCTGTTAAGACTTTTTTTTCCTTTTTTCTTTTTGGCAGCTGGAAAGAAGTTGCTGTGGAGATACTGAGATACTTTCTAAGGGAATGGGAATAGAGGTAGTACAATACTTCATAGATGAAAAAGGACTAATTATAAATGTAAATTACAATATATAAACTTGAGAAAAGAGACTTATCTTGCAATGGAGTGATTTCTGCTGAGTAGGAGGATAAAGAGGAAATAGTTTTAACTTATTTAATGCTTCTCTGCAATTATTTAACTGAAAATTTAATCAAAACTTGTTTCTGGTAGTTTATTATGAAAAAGAGAGGAAGAAAACTGATGCTTATCTTATAATATAGATTTTCATACCTATTTTAAAGTAAGTTTTAAAATGTATTCGAACCTTAAACTTCTGTGTCTCAATTGACTGATACAATAAAAAATATATTATAATTCTACGCTGAGCACATTTTAGATAAATTTAGCAACAGCAGACTTATCTTCTCTTCCACCAAAGCTTTGTTAGGATTCAGAGTTCTGGCCCTAATCATATAAAAGCAATGTTATACCTTTGAGCTTAACAATAGCATTCCAGGCTCTGTCTATATTACTTAATCTTTGTAATTATCTTGGCAGAACTATTAAGTTCTTAGTCTGATTTTAAGGTCATTGCTTGATGACATCGAACAATTGTGCTGTTTTGCTCCATGCTATCTTTGTATGGTTTGTTCATTCCATAAATACTCTCAACTTTCTAAAAGGATCTTCCAGATAACCCATATCCTAAATAGATCCTTAGTATGTATTCATGTGTTTCTGTTTCTTTTTTATTTGAGATGAGATGAGATGAGATGAAATAACATAATCTTTATTATCACTTTTTCTGTGTATACACTAGCACATATTAAAAATGAAATTCTGATGCCTGCTGTCAAAAGAAAATGTGTGTGTATGTGTATACACACACACACACACACATACACATACAAATACATATACCATATTTTTCAGAGTATAAGATGCACCTTTTTACCCCCAAAAAGGGGGTGAAAATTTAGGTGCGTCTTATACACCGAATGTAGTCCTGCCCACCCACTGGCCCCCACCATTGCAGCAGTTACCTCCTTGCAAGCAAACAGCAAGAAAAAAACAGCTCCTTTCAGCTTCAGCATAGACTAATTAGCACAAGTTGATTAGATCGGCCTCCTGACTCTCAGCTGATTTGCGCTCAGCTGTTTTGCTCAGGGCTCTTCTGCTTGCTGCAAAGAGCTAAATTGCTGGAGCAGATTTTTTTTTCCTTGTGCTAATCAAGCTATGCTGAAAACGAAACTGAAACTAAAGCAGGCTGTTTGCTTTTTGCTGCAGCGAGGCAAAATTAGGCAGAGACAGAGGGAGATTTCTTTTTCTTCTTTTTCCTCACCAAAAAAGGTAGGTACAAACAATGGGAAATTTAGGGCAAAAGAGGAGAGTTCAAGATTTTAAACACAAAAGAAAAAAAAGAGAACAAAAAAGGCAAAAATAAAAATGGGAAGGGCGAAAAAGAAATGAAAGAGAAAAATGTTATACATATTTAGAATTAAAATATGAATAGTAATAAGAAATAAATGGGAAATCATGATTGTAAAAATGAAATGAATAATAATTGGAATATTTGTCTTTGTATTTTTGAAATCTAGACAAGTTTTTATTTTTTATTTTTTTTAGAAATATGAATAAGTATAAACTGTAACAATTGAAATACCTTTAATGGTATATGGTGGTGAAAGTAAAAAAGGATTAAATTGTAGCTTGGATAACAGCTAGAACATTTTAAAATTTAATTAGGGAAATTGTAATGATTGAAATATTTTTAATTATATATATATTATATATTTTTATATATTATAAAGTGGAAATGATTAAGTTGTGATTTGGAGGATTATATGGGCAAAACTATGTGGGTTATTGGGAGAGTTTAAGATGTGAAAATGAGTAACATAAGAGGGGAAATTATTTGATTTATTATTATTGGTAAATATAATTAATTGATTTGTAAGAAATTGGATTGCATGGAAATAATTGGAATATTCATGTTCATATTGATTAATATATAAAAAATATAGTTATATAATTGATTTATATTAAAATGTTGAATTTGTATTAAACAATTGTAATATTACATAATTAACCAATGTGAGGAAGGATATAAAAATAGAAGACAATGGGAAGGGGTATAATATAGAATAGAAGGGAAAAAATTAATTTGATTAAGATTAGAGATGAGGATGAAGGGTAATATTGGTTTTTTTAAAAAAATAGATGAGGAATAAATATGGCAAAAAGGAAATATAGAAATTGTAAATTTAATTGAAATGACTAAACACTGTTTAAATTTGTGAACCAGCCAAATACTCTGTTCAAAGAAAATACATTGTATGTATGTGTGTTTGTCTAAAAAATTAAAAAAAAACTTTTAAAAAAAAAACAACCCAAAAAAGGTAGGTGCGTCTTATACTCCGGTGCGTCTTATACTCCGAAAAATACGGCACATGTGATGTATGAAATACATACATATAGCCATTAATCCCAATCAATTTTGAATACATAGCAGAAAAGAGAGTCTTGAGAGTTAACATGATTGATACTATATTAGTACAAAGCTATTACAGAATCTAGTTGTTATGCTTCAGATATCATGAAGCCTCCTCCCAGAAGGTAACAAAGAAAACCGGTCATGGAGAGGATGTGTAGCATCTCAGACAATACTGCAGACCTTGGTCAAGCAGTGTTTATATGCGATGTCTTGGATAGAAGGAAGTGAACTTCCAATAATCTTTTCTGCCATCATCACTCTCTGCACAGCCTTCCTGTCCAAAACAGTAATACACACATATGTTGTTCTTTGAATGTTGACAAATACAGAAAGGAATATTAATAACAATAAGATGATTTTCCCCTCAGGAAATATCTCAAAATTAAAAACAATATGTTTTTAGCTAAGAAAATATTAGTGATAGTAGTGGCTGATATCAGAGTCTCTTTTTGACTTTGACAAGTCAGTTTAATGCAATATTATTTTAAATATATCTTATTTCCTGTATTTTGATTTATTTCTGTACTATTCAGTCACTAAGACATAGGGACTATTGTTGCCTCAGTTTTTTTAAAAAAATGTTTTTTTGCTAAACATTTTTGATTACTACTTTATCCAGAATGCAACTTCTTGGGGAATTTCAAACTATGATTCTTTTATTGTTCAGAATAGAGCTAATCTACACTACTTTTGTTTCTGCTTTTTCAGGAAATTGAAGCAACTGTAAAATCTAAACAGCCAGATGTGGAAGGAATTTTGTCTAAAGGGCGTCATTTATATAAAGAAAAACTAGTTACTCAATCAGTAACGGTAATGAAACAATCTTACTAATACTCATTACTGCATGATAGATTATACTTCTCCTGTTTTGCAAACTATTGCCAAATTTATTTTCTTTTGTGGCCCTTCTGTTCCATTCTAATATTATCAAACTTGATAAAAGTCTGCATGCGGTCTTTGTTCTGGATGTACAAAGTAAGAACAGTCATGCACACAATATTTAATATTTTACTCCAAGTTTTGATAAATGAAAGATTTAAAAACATTCAGTAGTATTTTATGTAATGCTACTATTCAGTCAGTAATAAGTATCTTATTCCACTATTATCTTTACTTTACTTGTGCACAAAATTTATATTCCTAGATACAGAATCCTGTGCAAAATAATTGTGGAGATAGTATAAATAGTTTTGAAACTGAATAGATTGGCTTGTAATGCCATTAGAGACTTGCACAAATATGTTGGAGTGCCTTCTATTGATACTGTAGCATTGAAGTTTGTACCTCAGCATAAGATTACATTAGATGATCAACTATTTCAACTCAGTGATTCTACCTGAACATTGAACTACTAAATACCAAACGAGTTTTGAATGATATCTTAACAGAATAGAAATTAAAAGAAATAATTATAAAGATGAAATATTTATCTTAAAATGCTAGATCTTTATAAAACTTTTAATAAAAGGCTTTTTTTTTTCTTTTGCTTTTAGAAAAAATTGGAGGATTTAAACACTGACTGGAAAACAGTAAATCATTTAATCCAAGCTCTAAAAGAAAAGCCAAGGTCTGCAGTTCCAGTTGTACCTTTTCGGGCTGGTAAGTACCTAATAATTTAAAACGTTCACAGGTAAAAGTTAACCCAGAGTATTAAAGTTAATGCTGCTGTAACTATAATAACAATAATAACTCTGACATCTTAATATGCTCTATAGTACTCTGAGTCTGTCATTTCTTTCAGTTCCAATGTTAGCTTGTCCATTTCAGAGTACTATGTATCATGGGAGAAATGGTACGAATGGATTAAAAAGAGAAAGATGAAACAGGCTCAGACATAACAAAATTTGATGAAATAAAATATATAGACTATAAGTATTTTATAAGGATAAGGTTTGCAAATGGACATAGCTTTGCAAAAAAAATTCTTTTTTCTCTCTTTCTTTTTCTTTCTTTCTTTTTCCCCCTCTCTTTCCTTTTCTTTCTTTTTCCTTTCTTTCTCTCACTACTTCTCTCTTTCTTTCATTTTTCTCTTTTTGTATCTCTTGCATTATTTTTTTCTGTTTTTATGTATATTTTTGTATTTTTGTACGTACGTTTTTGGTATTGTGTTTATTGAAAAATTAATAAAAATCTTTTTTTAAAAAAATATGTTCTATAGAATTAACATTACAACTATATTTTGATTAAAACAAATGAAATTAAAGCAGTACTTGAATAGCTTCCCTAATATAATGTTAAGAACAATAATAACATTACAATACTGTTGTACTGAAAAAGTATAGGGTAGTTATTAAATGCCTTATCTGCAGTGGTGAGATTCAATTTTTTTTACTACCAATTCTGTGAACGTGGCTTGATGGGCATGGCTTGGTGGGTCATGTGACTGAGTGGGCATGGGCAACTCCATGTCACTCATGGCAAGGTGGGGTGGCATCTTGCTGTGAGTGACACTGAGTTGGCCACACCCACTTAGTCACATGACTGATGCTGCAGAGAAAGGGCAATTTCCTATGTACCTCCCCCCCCCCCCCCCCGCTGCCCTTGGACTGACAAAATAAAAGCCCATCTAAAAATGTGACTGCCTGCCAAATGCTGGCAAAAGGAGGCTAGGGGAAAAAAAGAGAAGGGCCGATAGAAACGCCCCATTTTCCACCTCAATTGGGCTGTATGCGCCGTGCTGGATTGGGATGGGGGGGGGAAGCAAAAAACCTACTTGGATACTAACCAGCACAATGGTGAATCTCTCTTCTAGCTCGTCAGATCAGACATTGGAAGCTTGAGGAGTAGATTTGTTTGCCCTGAAGTCCGTCTGCTGCTCTTCCAAGCCCGGCTCTGGCTGTGCCAAACATTGGCCAATTTTCTTCCAGTTCAGGGAATCCTGGGAGCAGCAGCATATATATTGCATACTTTTCATTCCAAACAGCCCAGACTGGAAAACACATGGCTGGGGTGGAGGAACGGTCCTTCTTAACAAGCTCCAAACTGTTGCTGCTGCTGCAAGCCCAGCTCTGGCTGCAGGCATGTGATTGTAAGGGCAGGCTTTCACAAGGCTGGTCGTAGAGGGAAACAGGGAGTACCAGACTTCCAGTGCTCATGCGGGGAACCCAGGCTTGCAGCAACAGTTTGGAGCTTGTTAAGAAGGACCACTCCTCCACAGCAAATACACACATATCTCATGGCACCAAGACCTTCTGCAAGGAGACGATGCATGGGTGAGTCCCTCCGGTGCCGTGAGATGTATGTGTGTTTGCTCTGTGTGTATGTTTGAGGCAGAAAAGAATGAGAAGCCTTGGCCGAACTTTTCTGCCTCCCTCTCTTCTGACACTGGCCAGGCAGGTGAGCAGCATTGCATGGGGCAAGTGTCCTCCCATGCAGCTTCCCGGCCAGTCAGGAGCCTCTTTCTGGCTAAAATGGCCATGTAGCCGTGGCCAGGAAGCTGCATGGCTGTGCTGGCTGGGAGAATTCTCTTCCCCCTGGCCGGGAGGCTGCATAACCACATTAGCCAAGAAGAGGCTCACGTGCTTGGCCATGAAGCTGCATGGGCGTGCTTTCCATTCTCCCAGACAGCATGGCCATGCAGCTTCCCGGCTAGGCAGGCGAGCATCATCCCGGCCAGCGTGGCCATGCAGCTTCCCAACTGGCATTCAGAGGCAAGCAGGAAGATCCAGGAAGATCCAGGAATTGCAGGGAGGTCCGGTAAGCACAGGAAGTGCTGGGAACAGTAGGAAGCTCCAGGAAGCACTGGGAAACTTTGGGAAGTGCAGGAAGCAGTGCTGGAGGCTAGGGATGTTGAGGGGGCAGCTAGCTACCTAGGCCGCAAGCACTATGTGTGATGGAGCCACAGCGCTGGCGGCGAAGCTAGCCAGGTAAGCCCAAGGACAGGGGGACAACTAGCTAGACCGCAGCCAGTGCCACCACCTGGGTTGGAACCTCACCAGTGGCGAAGCCAGTGCAGCCAGGCAAGCTCTGGGGATGGGGGGGGAGGTAGCTAGGCTGCAGCCAGCACCACCACCATCAGAGCTGCACTGGCGGCTTAGCTAGCCAGATGAGCCTGGAGATGGTGGGGGGGGGCACCTATCTAGGCTGCAGCCAGTGCTGACACCTGGAATGGAGCCGTGCTGGCAGCAAACCCAGCCAGATGAGCTCTGGGGATGGTGGGTGGGGGCTAGTGCAACTCGCAGGCTTACCTGTAAGCAAATAGATCATGGCCGCTCAGTTGGGGTGTAGGTACCATGTGGGAAGGCAGTTTAGGCAGGCAAGCCACAGATCAGAGCACATGCACCAGCGAGGACCTAGTGTGCCACATAGGAGGTGAGGAGTGACTGGGCAGGGCGGCATGAGCAAGCAGGTGGGGTGGGTGGCAAGCGGGCAGGCGGGGGCAAGTGGAGACCGGGCGAGCGAGTGGGTGGGGCCAGGGCCAGCCAGAGGTAGTATCTGCCAGTTCTCCAAACCAGGTAAAATTTCCACTACCAGTTCACCCGAACTGGTCCAAATCGGCTGAATACCACCTCTGCTTATCTGTTAGTTATTGATAATGGGGAAAAAAAAGAATGAGAAACTGCTATTAGTTGTTCTGCTGTACAGATATGCCTTTAGAAAAATAATGGAATATTAATATATTTGTACAACTGATCAGTTGAACAAACAGTTCAGTTTAAGGGTAGATTTAGCTGTACATCTCCACCCCAGGCCACCCCAATGATGCCCTTGAAGTGATGTCCCAGTGCCTGGAGGCCGTGCGGGCCTGGATGGGGAGAAACAGGCTCCGACTCAACCCCTCCAAGACCGAGTGGCTGTGGCTTCCGGCATCCCGATATAGCCAGCTGATGCCATCGCTGGCTATTGGGGGTGAATCACTCGCCCCCACGGAGAGGGCTCGTAACTTGGGCGTCCTCCTGGATGCACGGCTGTCTTTGGAAGATCATTTGACGGCCGTGGCCAGGGGGGCTTTCTATCAGGTTCGCCTGATACGCCAGTTGCGCCCCTTTCTAGATCGGGACTCCCTACGCACAGTCACTCAGGCACTCGTCACTTCCCGCCTGGACTACTGCAACGCTCTCTACATGGGGCTCCCCCTGGGGTGCACCCAGAGGCTCCAGCTGGTCCAGAACACGGCCGCGCGGGGGATTATGGGGGCGACGAGGCGCTCCCATGTGACACCTCTCCTGCGCGAGCTGCACTGGCTCCCGGTGGTCTTCCGGGTGCGCTTCAAGGTGTTGGTGACCACCTTTAAAGCGCTCCATGGCTTAGGGCCGGGGTACTTACGAGACCGCCTTCTGCCACCAATAGCCTCCCACCGGCCAGTGCGCTCACACAGAGTGGGCCTCCTCAGGGTGCGGTCCGCCAGACAATGTCGGCTGGCGACCCCCAGGGGGAGAGCCTTCTCTGTGGTGGCGCCCACCCTCTGGAACAACCTCCCCCCAGAGTTACGGATAATAACAGACCTCCGGATTTTTCGTCGGGCCCTGAAAACCCATTTATTTCAACTAGCTGGGCTGGCTTGAGTCAAATTTTAAACTGATTTTAAATTGGAATTGTTTTAATTACGGCCAAAAGATTTAATTATTTTAATCAGTTTTTAGATTTTGTATGTTTTGTATGTATGTCTTGTTTTATTTTGGCTGTTCACCGCCCTGAGTCCTATATTGGAGAAGGGCGGTATAGAAATTTAAACAAATAAATAAATAAATAAATAAATATTAATTAAAAAGGTAGTCAAACTGGAAAATTATCTGGAAATTACATAGAGTTTAATATGATTCTATGGCAAAATCACACCTTAACTATATTCCATTTTATAATTTATTTAAGCTATAGTAATTAATCAGAATATAGCTGGAAGGGACCTTAGGCACCAAGTGCCCAAACTGGAACCCTTGTGCGTGTGTCTGCACGTGCATCCAATGGAGCTCCAGAGACCCAAAAACCAGCTGACTGGTGCACATGGAAACCAGAAGTGCAGCTGGTGACAGTGCGGATGCCCACAGAGAGGGCTCTGCATGCAACCTCTGGCACATGTTCCATAGGTTTGTCATCATGGCCCTATACCATTTCAGACAGGTGGCTATCCAGTATTTTCTTAAAAACCTCCAGTGATGAAGCACCTACAACTTCTGAAGGCAAACTGTTTCTGTAAGGTCTTGCATCTCCAATCTTCCCAAGAAAGCAGGACTCTTTGTGATATGCAGAAAATGCCTGTCACCCAGAAAATAATCGACAGAGAGTTGAGAGATAAGACAAGAATACAATTTATTAATCATTTCTTTGCAAAGGTCCCCCTCAAAGTGAGGGAACAATTTACCATTCGTTCTCACCGTCTTTTATACAATTTCAGGTTACACCTTACAGGATACAAGCATGTCCCTTGAGTACAATTTCAGACTTTATATAACAAATAAACACATAAACACATGATATCCCCATTATGGAAAGTCCCCATAACTCCAATATATAAAAATACCCTACTTAAAAATATTGCTTATACGTGTAATATCAGCATATGTGTACTTCCCCTTCTTAACGAGGGCAAGTTGACCTAAAGCATACTTCCTGCTAGATAAACACTTTCTCAAGAACACAGGAACCACACAATTCCTTTC